GCGGCCGCTTTCTGAGCTACGTTACGCCTGGCAGCCATCTCCCGTGAGGCCCGAAGCGTTGGGTGAACGGCTTAGCTTCCATCGCCTAAGCATCAAGCAGGGAGTGGTGGCTTATGTATATATATGTTTAGGTTCAGTCCTATCTCGCTGCGAAAGGACAGGTTGTTGCATTTTTACGAGAAACGGTAGGTTCTTCCCCACACCAAGGTCTGCAAACTGCCTGCGTGATGGGATTGGGCTTTGCGCAGGGGGAGGTAAGAGTATTGTGGAGTTCACACTTTGTTCTCCGGGAATTAGCAGAGCTCTTGCAGAGCCGAGTCCTTACTCCCTTTGTGTCACAAGGATGCCCCCAGGCAGGAATTTTTTTTTTTTTTCCTCCTTTCAGTACTTGATGTGCCAGCAGCAGTAATAAATAGAAACAAGGATGTTTCCTGAGGATGTTTCATGGCTCCAGGTGTCACTTTTGTGATTGCAGGCCCCGGTTGCATTCGAAAGCAGCGCCGCTTACTTTTCTGCTCAGGAGTGGGAGAACCTGGAGGAATGGCAGAGGGAGCTGTACAAAAACGTGCTCAGAGGGAAGAATGAATCTCTGATCTCTCTGGGTAAATATCACTGTTTCAATCAGTTATTGGCGCTTCTGGACTAGCTCCATTTTGGGGACGTTTTCCCACACCTGGGAAGCAGATTTGTAGAATCACGGAGAAGTCAGTGCCTGTTGCTGAGGGCAGTGCAGAGCACAGCACACGTCACATCCAGTCTTGCTCTCTCCCAGTGCTCACTGGGTGTGGGTGCTGGCTGCAGTCACCTCCCTGTCACGGCCTGCTCCCTGCGGTGCCCGGTGCCAGCACAGCCCACAGGCCCCTTCCCTCGGGCCCGTGGGGTTTTTCCCCACTGGGGTAGGGTTGGCTGCCAGAGGCGGAAGCTGCCATCTCCCGGTGGGCCGTGCAGAGGGCTCCCCATGCTGCCAAGCGGTGTGTTGTGGCCAATGGAGCTGGTTTCGTGGACACAGTAGGCATTTTGATGCAGCGCGGAAACCTTAATATCTCTCTGTTCCTCAACAGATTATGTGATCTCCAAACCTGACTTCCTGTCCCAGCTTCAGAGAGGAGAAGCGCCCTGCAATGGGGACAAGGCGGCTTCGAGAGAGATTCCAACAGAATCAAGTGCAGGCAAGAGACAAATTACAGCTTTATTCTCAGGCGTAATATTTGCATGTTGTTGTTACCAGATGGAGAATGTCACAAGGTGATAGTCCTGACTTGCTATGAAGGGAACTTCTCACATCTCAGGAGGAGCGGGTTCAGGGGGAGTAACAGTGTTAGAAAAAATTGTGATGGGTTTGATCTTTCTCATTAGCAGAGCCTCTGCTGTTTAGACTTGATGCGAGCAACCAGGACAGCAGAGAAGGAGCGCAGGAAGTCCTGGAGGGAAGCACAATGCTGGCTGAACCTGGACCTGGTGAGCACTGTTCTGAAAGGGTGTGCTTGGACACAGGGACAGGGAGGACACTCTCCTGAAACAGGGGGTAAGGGAGGAACCACCTCTCTTGCAGGGCAGAGTAAAGCTCCCAGAATTAGGAATGGGAGATGCTGGAGAGAGGTTCTATGTGAAAGCAGGGTAGCTGGGAGCAAACCTTCTGGGCACAGTGAGGGAAGAGCCGAGCAGTGCTGTGATATCCAGTAAAGAAGTTTCCTCTTTACCTTAGCAGACTACAGCATTCCGGAGCCCAGCTTTGCAGGCGTTGTGAAGCAAGAGGAAGAGCCATGCGTGGAGGAGGAGGGAGCCACGGAGGATGCAGAGTTTACCGAGCTCAGTGTGGGTGAGTTCCGAGCAATCCCAGAGTGCACTGTGCAGCTGGAGATGTGGGGAGTCCATGACCTTCCTGCTGTGGGACAGAGCGTGCTGAGACATGGGGACTGCGGAGAGGCAGGCGGGGCATTGGGGAAAGAGCAAGAGCCATGCTGACATTAGGGAAGTGGGCAGAAAGCATATGGACAGTTTTACTAGTAGGAAGATTAAAGTGCCGGGTAGACAAAACACTGCGTGTGAGGAGACAGGCATCCCTGAAATAAATCAAACAGAGTACACGGAATCATTAGGAATGAAGTCAAGAACAGTTCTCAAGGTCTTCTTCAAAGACAGTGTTATGTCAAAGTATCTGGGGAACTGAGTGAAGTTCTGCTCACTCAGTCTTGAAAGGAATGCGGCAGTCAGGGATGTGGTCTGGAGATAACAGCGAGGTGGGAAGCTTCCATATCGGGAGAGACTGAACGCGGTAGGGCTCCTCAGCCTGAGGAAGGCATGGTGGAGAGGGGAAGACAACATGGGGCTGTGCCTGGGTGAGCTGTTCGCAGCAGGAGCTGAAGGAACGAACCTTTGCTCTTTCTCGCTGCTCAAGATCCAGGGAGCACCCAGTGAAATGAGTGGGCATTTGCTTTAAACCAAGCAGGGCAAACTCGGTCATCGTACCTGTGCAACCTGTAGAACCTACTGCCACAGGGCACAGCAAGGGCTGAAAGCAAAGCGGGCTTAGAAGGGGTTTGGGCAAATTCCCAGATGGAATGTCACCTCTGGCTCCCATCTTGCTGCAGGGAGGCCATCCCCAGCGTTCAGCAAGGCCATGGCTGATGCAGAGCTCGGCTCTTCCCTCTAGCCCTTGGGCTTCTCAGCCCCTGGCCCAGAACACTCGGCTCCCTTTTGTGGGTCCTGTCTTATGTCCTCCAGAGCACATCTGCTGCTCTTCTGCTGGAATTTCTTCTGCTTGGTGGCTGCATCCTCAGAAGAGGGAGCTGTGCTCCTGAGCAGTGCCCCGATGGCTACCTAGGGGCCAAGGAGGTCACCGGTGAGCTGGGATGGCTCTGTTATTCCCAATAATAATGTAATATTTACTTGATTATTTGACTGCTCCCACCTCACCAGTCACTTCCTCACCCTCAGTCTGGGTCTCTGTTTATTCTCCTTGGGCCATATCAGAGGTGTCAGTGGGGTTTGCTCAGTTTTTTGATGGCATTTGCCCTGCTGTGACTAAATCTTAGATGCTTTTTCTCATGCCCATTGTGTCATGTTGTCACCTCTCTGCTGTCAGTCATTGCACAGCACTAGTGAACCAGGGAGTGACACCCTTCAGGCAGGAGGCTGATCCCTGCTTAGATTTTGCCCTCACTCTGTCAGCAGCTTTCAAAATGGTTGTCTGTTGGCAGTTTCCATCCTTGACCTTTGGTGGGTTTTCCACCAATGGGTCATATTCATACCCAGGTCAATGAAAATTAAATGTTCAGGTAGGAATGAGAGTAAAGAGAAAGTTTGAGACAGGTTTAGTGTGAATAGAAAACCCCAGGCACCTAGCTCAGAGATGAAGAGCAATGAACCCTCAAAGAAAATGTACTTTTACTGCCTCTGTGAGGACTACAGAGGAGGCTTCCTCATTACATATGTATTCTGAGCAGTAGCAGGCATGTCTCGAGTCAAAACCAGCCAGTGTTTGTGTGTGCCCTTTCAAGAAGAGGGCTATACAGGTGGGTCACCATGTCCTGGGAGTGGAGGGAAGGTGGTTCTCGGGGAATGAGCTGGTGCTCTCAGAAGAGTGAGAAATACCAAGTCATTGGTGTGGGGAGGGAGGTCTGTGAGGGGGTCCATGAGATCTTAGCACTTAGGAGGAGGAGGACAGCTGGAGGTGATTTTGGAAACTGCTGAACTCTACTATCTTGGAAGGCAGCACTTCCCTCTGCCCCCGCCCTCACGCCTTCTCACACTCGCTGCTCAGCCAGCTGGAAGGGAAGCATTCCTGTGCTTTTCACTTGTATTCTCTCTTTCGGTCTTTCAGCTGGCTGTTGTTCTATAAGCACAGCTGCCTTTCACGCTCCTTGTGTAAGACAGGCCTGTTTGATTCACGGGGTGGGGGGGGTGGACACGGGTGAGATTTCAGAAGTATCTTGTGTCTCACACCAGTGAATGTCCCCTTTGTTGTTCTTGTCAGTTCCAGCACATGAGGTGATAACCTTCAAAATAGAGCAGCTGGACTCTGAGGAATGCCCCCAAAGCTCAGAGTCCCCTGCAACTTTATCCAGTGAGTCGGAGGAGCTGCTTTTCCAGGGTCCCAGCCAGGTGCTGCCCTTTGGTAGTCAGTACAGCTCTCCTGTGCAGCAGGGAAACCAGAGCATGAGCAGTCTGGTGCCATCCACTCCAGCAGAAGAGGGTCTTGGTGAAAGCAGTGCTGTCACCTCCTATGGGCAAAACTGTCCCAACAAAAGACCTCACTCGTGTGCTGCATGTGGGAAGGGCTTCTGTCTGAAGAAGATGCTGACAACTCGCCAGGATTGCCACAGCACACAGTGCAGTGGTGAGCACACTGGAGATGAGGAGGACTTCCTCCCTCAGCAGCACCAGCAGACCCACATGGAAGACGGCACCCACATGGGAGATGGCACCCACATGGGAGATGGGACCCACATGGCCACAGAGAGATGCAAGCAGAACCAAAATGCAAAAGCCCATGCCAGCATCCCAGCCATGGACAAAGTGCACGACAATCCCAGGCACACAAAAAGCATCAACGACAACAGCAGCTGCAAACCAGCTCAGAGCAGCCACCCGCGGGGGAGGCCTTACAAGTGCAACAAGTGTCAGGAGTGTTTCTCCCAAAAGAAAATCCTCATCATCCACCAGCGTACACACTTGAGCCGGAGCAGAGAGGTCCTTTGGTGCTCATACTGTGGGAAGACCTTCAGCCACCCCTCCAATCTGATCCGGCATCAGAGGATCCACACGGGGGAGAGGCCATACCAATGCAACGAGTGCCTAAAGCGCTTCACCCAGAAGCAGCACCTGCTCCAGCATGAGAAGATCCACCTGCGTGATAAGAGCTGCGTGGTCACGCAGAGTGTGAGGAAGGCACCTCTACACAGCTTCTAGGCTGTGCAGGCTCACGCAGCCCTACAGCCCCTGGAGATGTTAGGAAAGGAGAAAAGAGAGTCTCTGCTGCTCAGTGTTAAAGGGTCTCTGACAATTTACCCCAAAGATCTAAGCAAAGTAGAATTAGGATTCACCTTGGCACCAGTGCCCTTTTAGTCGTGGTGGTGATGGTATGCCACAGTACCTCATAGTATGCCCCAAAATCTCTCCAGAATAAAACTGGTTTGGGCCTCTCCAAGTTTGAGTCAGTTGTTTGAACTGGTTCCAGCAAGGTTGAGTTTTTTGAAGCTTTTCTTCACCTGGAGTTTCCCTGGCTGCTCCCTTTGACAAAATTCTGCTGTTCTCAATTTCATGGGCAAGTTTGAGTTGCACGTTCACAAAAGACTCCTGGCAACTGAACACGTGCACAGGGTGAGGCCTCGCTGACAGCTTGCATGGATGTCCCCTTTGCCAAGGAGGGGCAGCCAGTCAGTTCCCAGCTCTCCCCATGCCTTGGCACAGGCCAAATGACATTTTCATTGCTGCTTCTGCTCAGGAAGCTAGCTGGAAAAGATAGGTTCAGTTCCTTCTCTAGGGCTTGAAATCGGATTTAGTTTGCTGTAAATGACGATGATAGGGCCAAGTTCTGCTCGGAGTTCTTCTGATGTGCACTGAGACACACTCTACTGGACACTCTGGGTTTGCACTGCAGTAACTGAGGGGAATTTGCTCCATTGTCTGTCACCTCTGAGCACACCCAAAGGAGGTGGCGTCACCCAAACCCCTTCTCATACCTCTACGATACTCCCAGTGGAACTGAGTGGGGAAACCACTTGCAAGCCAGAGGTGGGGCACACCTGTACTCCCAGGCTGAAGTGAGCATTCAGAAAACTTTCTGCTGACTGCCTGTACATTAACACTTCTTTTCTTTGTATTTCATCATTGCCTTCCATCTCCCTCTCCTCCTGGTAGCTTGGGGTACAGATGGTTTTTGTTCTTGGGGATCAGCTTTCATCATATCCCAAACCATTATGAAAAAATTCTCAGCATCTGAAATGTGTTTAGCAAATTGCCCAAATACATAGTGCAACTTCAGGGATGGCATCGCTGCTTGACCTGTTTTAAACCTGCTGCTCATTTCCTTCACCACTGATCGGACTTTAGAAACCTGTCTGTTTCTTCCTGGTCCCAAAGTGTCTGCCAAGGGGAGGGTGCAGGTGGCTGGCTCATCCCCTCAGACACAGAGATGTTCCTCTGGCTCCAGCTGGCTGCTGTGGCAGATATTTTAGTCTGGAAACTCCTTTAGCCAAGGAGTGAGGTCTCTTTCCATGTTCATTGTCGCCCGCCCTGCCAGGAGAGCGTAAGATGGGAGTGTTCCTGTGCCTGCTTTGGCCCAGCCAGCAAGGCCAGCTCAGGGCTCTGGGGTCTTTAAGCTAATTTGATTCTTGCCCTGAGCAGATTGGGGAGAGCCTGTGTGAACCTCTCTAAACCCATGCTGTGGGAGCTGGCACAGAGCCACACTTCCCAAAGCGTCTCCAACCACTGCAGGTGTTTGCCTGGTGATCAATTGTCTGCCACCTTTTCTTGTCCTAGTGTCTTTGATTTCATGGCTCCTGACATGTCTGAGTAGGTATGTGTGTGGTGATCCTCTCTCTGTGCACATAATTTTTTTTTTTTTTTTTCCTTCTACAAATAAATCTATTTTGTCACTTCTTGGTGTTTGGTAGCCACTTGCTACCATAAAGCAGTGAACATGGACCGGTTTTTTCTCCACTATTTGACATGCTGAAGGAGAGTCCCAATAAGCAGGTAAACTAATCAGTTCTCCAGTGGTTTCCTACTGACTCCGGTTAAACTGCTTTTTTTTTTTTTTTTTTTTTTTTTTTTTTTTTTTAGTACTTTTATTACTTAGACTGTGAGCCTTCAAGGCAGGGAACTTGTTTCTATCTGTCTGTAAAATGCCAGTTAAGTTTGCAGCAGTAGATACTTGATTTTTAATAACAATAACATTAAACTTGAGTGGATTAAAGCTGTGAAGTTCTCAATACTTTTTTTTTCTTTTTTTTTTTTTTAAATCATTTTACCTGCTGATAAATGGCAGTTTGTAGTATCAAACCTTACTGATGGAGGGAGAAAAGTCTACCTTGAATCGGAAAAAAGAGTGGGGTTTCGTTGTTTTTTCTTTTTTCAATATTGCGGTGGAACTTGAGCAGGAGAATTGTTTTCCATGTGTCTATCTACGGGACCTGAATGGTAAGAGTATCTAAAAATAGGATGTAAATAAGCTCACTATACAATTCTCATCCTGCAGGCAGATCACATCAATCCTGCCACCAGCAAAAAGTTTTCAGCAACTGCCACGATGCAGTCGTTATCAGTTTAGCCCAGCTGAGTCCAGGAAGAGCAGGATGTATTCTGGGATAAAGATGCTGCCGCATAAAGCAGCAGAGGGGCAATTGTCACCGATTCCTCTGTGACCAGAACGTCCTGAATCTTAGTTAGAATCACTTCGGCAGCACTCCTAGGTTATTCTACAACCAACCAACTACAGGTGCCTTTTCTGGGCTGTTTCTGTGTCTTACAAAAGAACAACTTAACAAGAAACATCAAAGTCCTGCCTTGTTGCCATCTCTCCTCCCTGTTGCACTATTGTCATCTATCTTCTAGTGCTGACCTCCTACCATGTCATTATTATTAGACATTTTAAACCTTAGTTAAAGAAAATGAAGAAGCTGCCTGACATCTGCTGTTGTGCTCACATCTGAGAGGTGTCTTTGTAACTGCAACTGTAAAAGAATTGGCATTTGGATAGTGAAAAGATGGGTGTTTCAGACGTGTGTGAGCTGGGGAGGGTTATGCCATCCCAACAGCACTCTCCTGTTTTCAACTGGGAGATTTTATATGTTAACCACTGTGAGCATCAGAAGCACTTGATGTGCTCCATGTTTCATCATTTCTTGACACTGCCTTTGACAATACAGATGAAGCAGTATTTTGCAGTGAGTCATAGTTTCCCTGTTTTAGCCCAGCTCCCCTGTATTTCAGAGACAAATATGTATATTTATAATAAATCTTGGAGCTATTTTGAGATTTGTGCTGCTTAAATGGCAAAAATTCAACCCTGAATCCAAGAAGAAATGTCAAGAGACATAGAAATGCAGTGCTTTTCCAAGACCAAGAGAAAGAAGAGAGTGATGCTTACAGGAAAGAGCAGGGGAAGGCCAGAGAAGATGTGGTGATGCAGAGGGAGGGAGTTTTGGGGGAGCGCAAGGTCTCCTACACCCACCTTCAGATGCATCATGGAGTCTCTGCATCTTCTATGAACAAGCACTGAGCGTTTATCGTCCTTGGGTAGCACTTCTCAGCGTGGAACTTTTTCCTGACCTTCTGTTACTTGGGCTGCTATAGCTTAGGCTGGAGTAGGACAGCAGCCTCCACTACAAAGCCAGATATCTAAGTTGAGATATTCTTCACAAAAGAAGGCAAAGTCATGCACAGAAAAACAGGAAAAAAATAAACTGACCCAGGTGCATCCAGGACAGCAACGTCTTACTGGATTCTCAAGTTCTGGCAAACGCAAACTATTTTGCTTAAAAGCAGCTCAATCTTTTGTTTGTTCATTTTGCAAGTACTTTCTGTTGTTAGAGCAACTCCCTGTTTTTTATTGCTTTATGACTTCAGATTTTTGTTTATAAAAGCCTCTCTGTGTCTTGCCACATAGAGGTGGGAATTCTTTGCATCCCATGGAATGCTGCATTTCGGAGAGGTATGCTGGCTCTCCCGTGTCCAGCTCCTTACGTAAGGATTAAACTCAAGACAAGAAGGACACATGTAAGTACAGAGAAGCCCTATCATCCTCTGGCAGCCTGGCTCTCCCCACAGGTCTGTCCCTCACCGAGAGGACCAGAACCATGTGCATGTCACAATAGGTGTCACCTAGCACTGTTGTCAGGTTCTTAAGCCTCTTTCTGTCCCTTCCTGGGGTGGGTCTGAACCTTTCCAAACGCTGGAGGGGAAGTCTTCTGCCCCAGCCACTCTTACATGGTCCCACGGGGCACACAACTGTTGTGACAAGCTGAGAGGCCCAGCATATCTCAGATGAATGTCCCCAGGAGGAGTATGAGCCCACCAACCTCTCATGGCCCAGAAGTAGGTCCTCATCACCGTGGGGTGGGACACCCAGGCAAGATTTAAAGAAGGCAGGTAAGAGCAGTGCGTTGTACTGCAGGTCAAACGACTGATTCCTGCTACCAGAGGAGGCTACAAAGAGCTGACATAACTCCGCACCATCCTGAGACCTACCTGTAGTAAGAATGTGCTCATCAGCTACGTAGGTAATGTTAGCAAGCGAACTTTTAACTTTGGAGTTTTGATCACCTCTTATGGTAAGGGAGGTCCTGTTTTGCATAGCTGATGGCCAGACAGTTTAGCAAACTTAGCAAATTAGGAGGATAAGGTGAGGTGGTGATTCCAAGCAGACTGTGGGTCATACAGCAGCTGTCAGTCATAGAGGCAAGGCCTGGGGGTGTCACCCGACCTAACTGAAGTTGCCTCTGTGGGGATGCCTGCAGTGGAGATCCCAGATGCTTTTGGAAGACCTGAATTTGCTGAAATCCCCTGTGGTGGGTGTACCCTGTGCACAAGATCCAATAAAAGCTTCCAAGCACTTCAGCTTTGTGTTTGTTTGTACAACGTACCTGAGATAAGTTCCTCCTGATGCTTGTCCAGACAAGGAGAGCCAAGGGGCTGCTGCAACCCCAGATGGGGCCATTAGGAGGGTTACCTCCCCTGGGAGCTCCCCTTCAGCAAGTCGACGGAGCAGGAGCGGGGCTGTGCAGGCAGCCTCCTGCAAAACACAGTCCAGGGCTGAGCTGGACTGCACGGCTGCCACACCACCCCATCCCAGGGCCATGGTGGCACCTGGAGCTGTGCTGAGATGAACCAGAGACCCTGCGCTGCACCCCAGCATGGTGGGCAAGGATGGGCCTTAGGCTCAGAGGGGATCCCAAGTCTCCATGGCTCTGAGAGGAGCCCAAATCCTCATGGCTCTGAGGGGATCCCGAATCCTCGTGACTATGAGAAGACCCTGCATCCTTCATGGCTTGAGGAAACCCTGCACCCTCATGGCTCTGAGAGGACACAAAATCCTGATGGCTCTGAGGGGATCCTGCACCCTGACAGCTCTGCAGTGAACTGATCCCTCATGGCTATGAGAGGATACCACACTCTTCACAGCTCTGAGGGGATCCTGAGCCCCCATAGGTCTGAGGAGACACTGGACCCTCACGACTCTGGGAGGGACCTCAAGCCCCCGCAGCTCTAAAGAGACCCTGTGTCCCTCCCAGATCTGAGGGGACCCTGCACACTCATGGCTCTGAAAGGATCTTGAGTCCTTACAGCTCTGTGGGGAACTGACCCCTCATGGCTCTGAGGGGACTCCGGTCCTTCAGAGCTCTGAGGGGATCCTGACCCCCCACGGCTTTGAGAGGATCCCGCTCCCTCAGGGCTCTGAGAGGACCTTGTGTCCCTCAGCTCTGAGGACATCCTGATCCCTCACAGCTCTGAGGAGATGCTGGTCCCTCCTGGCTCTGAGAGGATCCCCCGTCCCTCATGGCTCTGAGAGGAACCCGGTCCCTCCCGCCTCCGCGGCGCCGC